TATTATTGGCTTGGGCATGGAAATGTGCCATTAGTGATTTAATTCTCTGCAAGACATTTCTCCCTAATTGCTAGTCATGGGATGATAATTAGCAACTGTTAATGCCTGATAATTAACAAGCTAATGCTTAAAGGTAATGACACCCGGGTAATCATCTCAAAGCTGCCCGGCTTCCACGTCTGGGCCCTGAGCCCCAGACAGTAACACTGCGTTTCAGCATCTCCAGCCCAGGAGTCAGCGGGGACCCTGCACATGAGGGCAGCAACTGGAGAATGGACAACTCTGGTCTTTACTTCCGTTCTCTCCTTTGGAAGTAAAAATAGTCCATGTTTTTTTAGAAGCTTAGTTGAGCACAGGAAAGTGATGAAGAAAATCAAATATCTATAACTTTATGACCTGGAAACACTCACCATCCACATTTTGGTTTACTTCTTTCCAGCCTATGAGTTTTTTTCACAGTTGAATTCTTGTCAGACGCGGTTTCACATCCAGCTGTATTCACAGAACATTATGGGATAAACATCTCTTCGGGCAGCGGTTCGTAAAAGGCATCTGCCTTCCCCATCAGAAACATCGAATGAACCTTGTGGATGAAGGACGAGCTTCATGGGATAGAGAGACGGTCATGTACAACCGACGATGTGGACAAAAGCCTGATGATGTGGGAGCCAGGACCTCACCCCAGACCGGCGTCTCCAACGGGACCCCCACGCCCGCTGCCACTGCCAGAAGACATCGGGTGTGCACATAGGCAGTGACATCAGAAGAAAGACAGGGAGGCAATGAACTAAGATGGGAGTAATCGTGTTTTCAGAATGGGGCAGTCCAGGTAATTTCCCCCTGTGCTGCCTCATGATTTTCTGTGCAACACAGAGGGAAAAGCATTGAATCAGCATTCAAAACATGACCAGTTCACACGCGGGTCCCTCCAGGGGCCTGGCTGGGCGACCTCAGGTACTCCTCCCCTCTGGACCTTGACTTTCCTACATGCGGTTTGAGAGGAACATCAGCCCTTCATGCTCCAACGTGGTTTTCAGAATCAGAAATGCTGAGTCGGAGAGCACCTCCCAGGGACTGCATGGGAGGGTCAGCTGGGGGCTGCCGAGATCCAGCCCGGTAAGGATCAGCCAATGGCCCTTAGGTGACCTGGTCCTTTACAAAGACCATCTTCCAAGTATTGTGTCACATAAATTTCTAGGTGCCCTAGTGGCCCACTTTGGAGGTGTCTCTTCACCCCAACACTCCAGAAGGGTCTGTTTCCTCAGCAGGGAGATGGTGCAGCCGGAGCACGGACCTCGGGATTAGACCGAGGTCTAAGTCCGCAGTCTGTCCCCCACCTGGGACTCCTGCAGGCTTACCTAAGGTCCCAGAGCCTCAGTTTCCTGATCCACAAAATGGGGCTAATGCCACCCACATGGGGGTCGTTGTGAGGTCCTGATGCTGCCGTTTATGTGTAGGTTAGTACGATTTCATAACGGAAGCATAACTACTCTTGTGCCAGGAATAGGATTGCTCTCTTCTGCTCTGCACAGAGCTCCATGAGCTCATCCCCCCCTCTGGAAGGGGACTCCCCCTCACCCCACACTCACTCCCGCTTCAGGCTCTGTTCTCGCAGAGTTTCTCAGGTCAGGTCAGCCTCGACCTCTTCTTCCGCTTCTCATGTTTATAGATTCAGATCCAGTCCGCTCTCCACCTTCATCTTTCTGAGCCTCCAGGACCCAGATCCCCTTTCTGTCTCGCTGCCAAGCTTATCATTAAAACGGGCTGTTCGGCTCCGGCCGGCACCGGCTGTCGTATTTCAGAAGCCCTGAGCCGTCTGCCTTACAAGGACGGGGCTTATCTGCCCATCGGTGCTTACGAATAATTCCTTCCACCAGGACTGTGCCTCAAATTTTTCAAGGGCCTGTCATAGCTGCCGTGACATTTAATCTCCCGGCCGTGCTGGGGGTGAGCAGGGCAGGCCTGGTGGTTCTGGGCAGCCTTGGCCCCAGCGTGGCTGTCTCAGAGCAGGCGCCGTTGCGTGGACAGATGATCAGGGAAAGCCCTGGCGTGCGTGAGGCTTTGGGTCAGACTCAGTGCACGGTGAGCTTGGGTCCCCGGGGCATTAACGTGTGCATGTGTGTGCAGTGGGATTCTCCAGGACCCACGTGCAGTGCCTTTCAGGGCTTTTTTCACCAGAGTCCTTTCTGCTAGAATATTCCAAGACAGTTTTGCTCTGTGGACCCCACTTTGGAAGACACTCGTAGGGGTGGCGTGGGAAGTGTCTTGAGAATGAGGCAGGGTGAAGTTCAAACATAGGCACCTCCACCCGCCTACTGGGTGACCTTGAGGGAGTTTCTTAACTTCTCTGATCTTCGGTGTGCTTGCCTGTGCAGGGAGGCGGTGGTAGAGTTGTGAGAATTAAAGCAGAGAGAACGGGCTTAGCAGGGTGCCTCACGGTGATGGTAAGCACTCAGGAGACTGCACTTTTATTATTCTCTTCCTCTGGGCTGCCCGGGAAGAACGGGCCCCAGAAAGGCTGATTTTCCAGCCTTACACAGCGATTTAGTGACCGGGCTGAGGATACGGCCCAGGTTTCCTGCCTCCCAAGGCTCTTTGCAGCTTGTGGCACTCTGTCCTCATCCAGGCGCCTCACCCTGGTATTCTCCCCGCCCCGCTCCCCTCCAGCAACCGTCCTGGGTTCTAACCCCATTCTCTCTGGAAGATACAGGGGCCCTGGGAGCTTCAAATGTAAGTGAATATACTCAGCCAACCGCTATGAAAACCTTAATATCATTTCCCACGTCACTCCCCAACCCTCCGATCCACACAGCGGTCTCCAGGGCCCCTCCACCACCGAGGTCCACCTGCCAGGTGGGTCCCGCCCCAGTGTGCCGGCCCTGATGCTGTTGTGTCACCCTTTCCCGGCTTGTGAACTCTGCGCACAGTGCCTCTGATACCGTTGCCTCTGCCATGGCAGTGAGCACAGCACCCCACACACAGTAGGTGCTCTGTGACATACCTATAATCCAGTCGGGAGCCTGGCCGGCCGGCTCTGCCTCCCACCCCCACTGCGTGGAGAGTGACTTGGCTTGGTGGGGAGGGCTGGCTGTTTTGCATTTTGTTTTCCTTCTTTGTCAAAGCTGGTTCAGGAAGGAGTGGCTTGGGCTAAACCCCGGTGCTCTTGGCCTGGTGGACAGGGCGCATCGGTTTCCATGGGCTCACATACAGCTCCAGGAAGCCGGCTGGGGCTCATTCTACAGGTCATCAGCCCTCCCGTGGTCAGCCAATAGGGCAGGGCCGGTGCTGCGGACTCAGTGCCCGACATCCCCCCTTCCTGCAAAGAGCACCCATTTACCCACCTTCCCCTTTCCCCTCTCCTATAGCCAGCTCACCCTCCTCAGGCGAATCCACTAAGACATGATGCCATGCCCCAGTAGGGCCCTGGGTCACCGCCAGGTGGCATTCCCTCCCCACCACAGGTGCTGTGATGCCTGACACTTGGGAGAGCATTCACACCACACCCTGTCTCAGCATCTCTGGCTTTGCATTATTGCACAGTGTTGGCGCTTGGCGACATCATGAGCATGACTTGACTTAGGCAAGGCTCCCTGAGTTGCCCAGGCCCCACCCTCTTCTGGAGTTGGCTCTGCCTGACCCCTCGAGCCCCCCGGGGTGACCCTCTTCCGAGCTCTCATCACATCCTGGGCTTCCCTGTCACCTATTTGGCCTAGTTCTTCTCAGACTTCAGCAGGTACACAACTCACCTGGATCTTGTTACAATGTGGATTCTGACTGACAAAGTTGGGAGAACCAAAGCATCCGCGTCTCTAACAAGCTCCCGGGGGACGCGGCTGGGCCGGGGGACCCGGCTGGGCCGTGGTTTCCACTTTGAGTAGCAAAGGCCGGTCCCTCTCAACTTGGGCTGCACATTAGAATCACTGGGCGCACATGGAAAACACCGTTGCCCTCATCTGAGCCCAGCTGCACCAGGATCTCTCAGAGTGGTGCCCAGACAGCGGGGATTGCTGGGCAAACCCTGGGTGACTCCAGGTGGCAGCCAGTGATCAGAGCCCTGAGCTGGGCTCTGGGCTCCGGGCTCCTTGAGGGTCGGCATCCCTCAGCCTTACCCCTCAGGGTTTCCCAGCTCCCAGCCCAGTGCCTGGCCCTGGCAGGTAGCAGGCAAGCTTGAGCAGACTCTTAGCTTCTCCCTGGCTGGTTCGGAACCGGCTCCTCCCAATGCTGTGTGCTGAGCAGGCAAGAGTCAGGCAGTCTCTAAGTAGGTGGCTTTAGGAAGTCCATTGAACTCGGACTGTGTGGTGTGGCTTCTTTACTTCTGTTGACCTAGAACTACACCTGATGGCAGCCTTTCCCAAGAAGACACCTTCCCAGGAAGCCTTCTCGCCCTCTGCCTCTTCCCAAGGCTGCCGCCACTTCCCCTCCTGGCTGCCGCAGCTCTCTGCCAGGGTGCACTTGACCCTGAGTCCTTCTCAACACTGAGAAGCCCCCCAGCAGAGCTCACTCCTCCAGCCCTCCTCCCTGCTGCAGAGCTCTTGGGCAGGTCTCTAGCGCAGCCTCCCGGACGCTGCATTTTAATTGCTTTGTGGGAGCCTTTGTCCTTCTAGGTGGGAAGCCTTCAAGGTCGAGGATAGTGTCATGTCCAGTGTTCGTCTTTTTATCTCCCGTGTTGGGCACAGTGGACTGCTGGGTGGGTGGATGGATGGGTGGGTGGATGGGTGGGAGGATGGATGGATGGGTGGGTGGATGAATAGCATTATCCAGCAAGGGGGATTCCCACAGAGGACAAGCTGGCCCCTTGCAGTAGCCTGGCAAGAAAGCTGTGAGTTCCTGGCAGGGAGGAGAAGAAGGTGCACCTCGGCCCTATGGCCTGGCGTCCAGGGAGCTGGCCTGTTGGTTTTGACTCATCAGTTTAGCCAGGGGGAGCTCACCTTAGTTACCCCCCTAAAGCCCCTCACCTTGGCCTCCTTGGAGGTACAGCTGCTACTTGCTCCCTCCCCCAGAGCTTGCTCCCTGCTGGCGGGACCAGGGCCGAGGCCGGCCCCCCACTCAGCCTGCGGGAAGATGAGCGCCTGCGGGAGGAAGGCCCTGACCCTGCTGAGCAGCGTCTTCGCCGTGTGCGGTCTGGGCCTCCTGGGCATCGCCGTCAGCACCGACTACTGGCTGTACCTGGAGGAGGGCGTGGTCCTGCCCCAGAACCAGAGCACGGAGATCAAGATGTCCCTGCACTCGGGCCTGTGGCGCGTCTGCTTCCTCGCAGGTAAGGGGACCCAGGGCTGTGGGCAGCTCTGCCCCGACAGAGGAGCAGCCCCACCCCGGGAAAACCTGCCCAGAAGCGCCCCTCCCCCACTCTTGGGAAGAGATGCCGTGGCTGGAAGGAGACGGTTCACTGGACAACCCTCCTGCAGCCTAGGCAGTGCCCCCTGCAGCCACCAGGACCCATCCCAAACGGGAGTCTCGATGTGTAGCATCCATTTGAGCAGTGCTGTCATTGCCGGGGACCTGGGTGTCCCCACCTGAAAGGAGTGTGTGCCCACGCCTCCCCCACACTCCACCTCCAGGCTGAGGGAGACTGACGCCACACGGGGCTCAAAGCGTCCCCCGTGCCTGAACCCCCTGCTTCATTGATCTCCATGCCTCCCCACAGCACTGCAAGGCACCTTATTGAAAGCATTATTCAAAACGTTGGTGCGCCCACCTTACACATGAGGCACTGGAGATGGGCGGAGGGGAAGGATGCCTCCCTGGCTCAGCAGCCCTGGCGCGCAGGACGGGCGAGGCTTGGCGGCCTCCGTGTCTGTGTGCGGGGAATGGCGGGGAGGACACCGGGTGCAGGTCTCTCCCACTGTGCAAGGTGGGGCAGGTCTGGGTGCCGTCTGTCCGGTCCCCCCACCAGCGCTAGGTCTTCTACAGGCCACTGCTTCTCTGGAAGCCTTGGAGCCACACTAGTGTCCTTTGTCCCACTACCATGGCCGGGACCAGCCTATGCAAGAAGAGCTTCTCTGTCTCCATGTCCTGAGACAGGCCCCAAATTTGGGCTGACCAAAATAGCCACAGGGTGGTCACTGGGCACTTCTTGGAGGGCCCCGTAACCTCTGGGTGCCCTGGGCAGAGGGGCCTCGGGGTCCTCCCAGCTGCGTGGTAGAGGCTTTGGGAGACGGGCATGGGGTTGGTGCCCACCGGTGTCTGTGTGTTTGTGTGTTTGTCACCCTGGTGAGCAATCCCACTGACTGCCGTGACACATGTATTTAACTCCGTCCTAAAGAATCGCTGCAAGGACAGAGTTGGAATGCAGTGGAAACCAGTCACAGCACACCGTTCCCTTTATGTTAGACGTTGTTTCCTTTCTAACAAGTTTTCTAGTTCAGGAAGCCACTGCCGTGTCTGCATCTCACGGCTGCAACTGGCCTCCTGGGAATGGCCCTCCCAGCAAGGGAGGCTGTCCGGGAGGTTTCTTCCTTTCCTCTCTGGTTCCTGGAGTCATCCTGTCTCTGCCTTGTCTCCCCCGCCCTCCCCCAGGCACCTCCAAACTGGGCCCTGCCTTCAGCCTCCGCCTGGGTGGTCTCACAGGTGGCCTCCGCAGCCCCACCTCCCCCGCCCCCACCACCCTGATGGTTTGCAGACATGCCAGAGACCCCAACTTCAGTCTTTGGTCACTCAAGTTCCTTTTGCCTCTTCTTTTTCCTTTCCTTCTCTTTTTTAATTTTATTTTTCAATTGCAGTTTCCATCCAATATTATTTTGCATTAGTTTCAGGTGTATGGCACAGTGGTTAGGCAGTCATTCACTTTAGACAGTGATGCCCCATATTCCCAGTGCCCACCTGGTGTCCCCCTGGTGCCCACCAGTATTTGACAGGGAGGACACCTCAAGGCCTGGCCTGCTGGTGACTTGCGTCTGTTTTGGGAATGGCGTCCGATACTGACCTCGCCTCTCGCTGCCTGGGACTGTGTGGCATCGTCGAGCAGAGAGGGAAGTCACCAGGATCTGACTTCCGAGTGGCTGACAAGGCTTTGGGGTTCTGCTCCGTGACACCCACACCGGGGAAGCTAAGCCCACTGCGCACTGAGTCTGTCCCTGAGCAACGAGACCGCCACCATCGTGTCACTAGGCCTGAGTTTGCCGTCTGGCCGCTTCTCATGCACCTCCCGGAGCTTGGGTTCGGGAAGGGCGTGACGTCAGGCTGTGCTCCAGCCCTGCCGTGGGGAGGGCGGGGGCGGGACCCACCGGGTCTAGCGCTCATCCAGGTGTGAATACCCCACAGGTCAAAGATCCTAGAAGCATTTGGAAATACGATTCGAATAACTTCAAGTCCACCTTCCAGAAGGACTGGAAAAGGTAAACGATTCCTGTCTTTGTAGGCGAGGAGCGGGGACGCTGCTTCACCATAGAATACGTGATGCCTATGAACACCCAGCTGACGTCCGAGTCCACGGTCAACGTCCTGAGTAGGTGCCTCAGGCGCCCCGCGCTGGGCCGCTGGCCCCGCAGAGCAGAGCAGGGTGGAGGGAAGAGTCAGGGCGACCAGCTCGTTTCCCAAGAGCCGATGTCCTTGGGCTCAGCTGGCTGTGCTGGCCTGAGCTCCCCGGAACTCGTTCTGTCCATTGCTTATCCTGAGAGGGTGACAGGTTGCTGGAATGTCCCAGCCTTGTGACCCAGGAGAGTGAGAGGGCATCCACACCCAGCATCTTAGCCCACTCGGGCAGCTAGAACAAAATCCCACATGCCAGGTAGCTCGTACACAGCAGAAATGTGCTTCCCCCAGTTCGGGAGACTAGGAGTCCAAGGTCGAGGCTCTAGCATGGTCACGTTCTGGTGAGGGCTGTCTTCCGATTCATAGCGGGTGCCCTCTTGCTCTGTCCTGTACCATGGAAGGGTGAAGGAGCTCCCAGGGGTCTCATTTATAAGGGCACTGACCCTGTGCAGGAGGGCTCCGCCCTCCTGACCTTAGCAACTCAGCAACTCCCAAAGGTCCCACCTCTGGTCCTGTCACACTGGGGAGTAGGTTTCAACATACGGATCTGGGAGGGGGGATGGGGACAGAAACATTGAGACCATAGTACTCAGGGAACTGAATCAAGCCCCCTGGCCCCCAGAGAGGCTGACCATGGCCTTGGCTTCGCCCGAGCTGGTTCTGACCCCTAAAGTGAGCTTTCAATGCAATTCTGACACTGAGTTAACACAGACTCCACAGGCTATGGGTGAAGGGACAAAGGCTATGGCTGCACTGGGAGGTCCCAGGCCAGCCCAGGAGGGGATGGAGCCTGGGGAGTTTGTGCACGGTGCGGCTTTGGGGACCAGCAGGCAGACACGGCCAGGAGCACCCAGCTTGGGAGGGCAAGGCCAGTGGAGGCTGACAGCGTCCTCTTGTCCCCTCATTAGAGATGATTCGCTCGGCCACACCATTCCCTCTGGTCAGTCTCTTCTTCATGTTCATCGGCTTCATCCTGAGCAACATCGGACACATCCGTCCCCACAGGACAATACTGGCCTTTGTCTCTGGCATCTTCTTCATCCTCTCGGGTGAGTCTGTTGTTGTCGTGCACTCTGGGCAGTCCTGGCAGAGGCTGTGGGTCGGCCCCCAGCGCCAGACCAGCAAGTGAGTGACCCAGGCACCTGCAGTGTCCTCAGCCCACCCTCTGCCTGGTGCTGTTCCCACCCAGGCCAGGAGATGGGGACCCAGGGCTCAGCTCCTCCTCCTGCTAGGAACCTGACAGTAGTCAAGGCCGTACAGTAAGTAGCTGGGGGGCACCTGAGATTTTTTGGCAGTCAGGATCAGAAGCCTCAGGTCAAACTGGGCCGCACATGGTGGTTCTAATGAGAGCAGCGGCCATGTCCACGGGGCCAGCAGTGGCACAGACATGAGTTAAGTGCCCGAGGAGTCTTGAGTCACATGGATTTTCCTTGAACATTCATCCTTCAAGATGCCCTGGTTTAATCATGTGAAGGGAATTAAACCTGAACAGCTCAAAACAGGGTAATTAATTATGTGCTGATTCAATTACAGCCACTCATTGACGGGACCAGTGCCTGAGGCTGTCATTTATTTGCACAATGCCAGTGGGACTCTGGACTCCCACGGGGGCCCCCCACCCCCGCCCTGACTGAACAGTTACCAGAATCTGGACAAACTCTCCTTACCTCTCTGCCTGACGACCTCCACAGGCCACAGCCAGTGGTCGGGCAGAGGGCGGGGGGCGGGGGGTTGGCTGCACAAACCAGGAGCCACTCGTCTCCACAGTGATGTTACCACCCGAGGCCGGAGAGACAGGGGCCAGAGGCCTGGCTACCCCGTCAGCCAGCGGGAGTCGGTTTTCTTCCTCCGTTTAGCGAAAGCCCCCTGCTAGCTCGGTGGTTCTCACCCGCCCTTCACACTGGCGTAGCCTGGGGCGCTGTGAGATAATACAGTGCAAGGGGTGCAAGGGCCCCAGCCCTCGGGTGACTCAGAACATCCAGGGGCGGGGGGGGGGGGCGTCTACATCCAACAGGGACTCCAGGGAGCAGGGGGCCAGAGCCACTGGCTCTCCCCGGCTCAGGAGGAGGCTGGCAGGAAGCTTTTTCTCAAATTGACTTTATTGGGGTGACACTGGTTAATGAAATTGTGTAGGTTTCAGGGTACAGTTCCCTAACACATCATCTGTGTGTAGTATTGTGTGTCCACCGCCCCAAAATGAACAGACAAGACAGAGACAGGGAGCTTTCTTACCTGCACGTGTCTGCTTTCCAGAAGGTCATGGTCTGAACAGGGTCTTCAGGAGGCAAGCTCCTCCTCTCCCTGAACCCCAGGACGAGTGCCCTGTCCCCAGGCTTTCTGCCTGAACCTCAAGGGGAGGCAGGTGCCCCTCCAGCAAACCCCAGGGCCTCCTCTCTGAGCCCCCCTGCCCTCCCCCAGGCCTCTCTCTCGTGGTCGGCCTGGTGCTCTACATCTCCAGCATCAACGACGAGATGCTCAACAGGACCAAGGACGCGGAGACCTACTTCAGCTACAAGTACGGCTGGTCGTTCGCCTTCGCTGCCATCTCCTTCCTTCTAACAGAGGTAACCCTTCCGATGGGCTGGGCAGGGAGCAGAGTGTGCCAGGACCCAGCCAGAGGGGGATGGCAGGCTACACACACCCTGGACCCACCACTGCACCGTCCCTCGTCCCCAGAACGTGTCATGGTTTACCTGCTCGTGGATAGCCCAGGGCCCTGCTCCTGTCCCCACCCCCAGTGGCTCTGGTCACTGTGTCCCTCTGCTGGGAGCAAGGCCAGACCCCCAGCAGTGAGTCTCCTCTGCTCCCTCCTCTCTGCAGAGTGCGGGGGTGATGTCCGTGTACCTGTTCATGAAGAGGTACACCGCCGAGGACATGTACAGGCCTCACCCCGGCTTCTACCGCCCGCGGCTGAGCAACTGCTCCGACTACTCGGGCCAGTTCCTCCACCCAGACGCCTGGGTCCGGGGCCGCAGCCCCTCCGACATCTCCAGCGACGCCTCCCTGCAGATGAACAGCAACTACCCAGCCTTGCTCAAGTGCCCCGACTACGACCAGATGTCGTCTTCCCCCTGCTGAGCCTCCCCGCCGGCCTCCTGGGACTGTGCACAGCCAGGCAGCTTCTCCTGAGCTCCCCTGCTGGCCTGTGAGCCCCAGGCCCGTGGTTGACAGGCCAGCCCCCCCTCCAAGCTTAGCTGTTGTCACTTGACCCAAATTGTTTCCCTGCTTCCCGCCCCCTGCCAACCCAGTATCTCTAACTGCCCCAGGGTGGCAACAGGGATCTGGAGCCCTGGGCAAGCAGATTGGCTGAGCGCATGGGTGCAGCCTCACCTTTGGAGTGCCAGTCACACCAGCCACTCTCCCCTTTCCTGGGACAGGTGGGTGTCGCAGCCGTGTATTGGTCCCTGCACACCCAGCTTCACGGCCCAGGCCAAGGCCAGCCCTGAGAGACCAGGCTCCTCCCTGCACAGGCCCAGCGGGACCTGAGTGCTTGCCAGCTGGCCTGGCCCTCACTCATGGCGATCTGGACCATGGACCGAAAGGTGACTCTGATGCAGAGGTCTGGCTGGTTCAGAATTGTCCAGCAGTGTTCCTTGTGAAATCTTTTATTCTCTTTGTCACCCACCTCCCTCCATGCAACACCCCTGTCTGTGCTCTCCACCCCCCACTCAGCCCCCCAGACTGTGAATCCCTCCCCTTCTCCCACCAGAACTCAACTGCCCTAGGGGACTGACTAAGGGGGCTCTGAGGCCGCTGATGAAGTCACAAAGAGGTGTTAATGGCTGATGATGTCTTAATCTGTATGGCCCCTCCCTGACATTTGACAGGGGTCTTCAATGCCTTAACCCAAAGAAGTGACTCTGATCATGAGAATTTCAGAATTTTCCTGGCCTGAGTTCATATTCCCAGGCACTGTTTCAGGCTCTGGGGATACTGTCCCTGCTCACATGAGCCATACGTCCAGTCCAAGACCCTCAGATCCAAACACGTAGACAGACGTCTACACCACCTACGCAGAAAGCAGCTTTCAGAGAGGCTGCGTGGGACCCGGAGCTGGACTTGCTGACACCTGGTGCATTTTGAATCTAAACGAGCCAGGCTGGGAATGACCGACCTGGCTGCTCTGCTGAGGACGCCTGTGAATGTGGGGGAGGGGGGTTGCCAATTTAATCCTAACATACGGCCGCATCTGCCTCCTGGGTGTGGTACACATGTAGGCAAACCGGTGTCCCCAGAAGGCGAGGCAGCCTGATGCCCACTTTCCTAGTAGGAAACCTGAGCTGGGGTGTGCGGAGCACCTTCTGCCAAGTCCGAGGGGCAGAAAATTGCGGCAGGACCTCTACAGGACCGGACCCCCTCGGTTCTCCAGGGGTCTCAGCTCCTGCGGTTTTGGATTTGAGGTTCTGACCAGCAAAACAACAACGGGCTCTCTGCTGTATTTTTGCTCTCCCTGCTTTTTCTCTCCTTCTCTTTAACATAGCATTAGTTCCTGCGTGCACAAAGCCACGGTGGGCCCCTCACGGGCTCTGGAAAGTTGTTCAGAAAAGCGCACGTGTGACATGTGCAGCCTTCCAAAGGACAGTGTTTTGTGGGGTTGGCAGTGTGTGTGTGTGTGTGTGTGTGTGTGTGTGTGTGTGTGTGTGTGTTTGCCTGGCTGCCATAACAGAATGCCCCAGACTGGGTGGCTTCAACAACAGACATTTATTTCTCCCAGTGCTGGCAGCCAAGAGTCCAAGGTCAAGGTGTGAGGAGACTGGGTCTCTTCAGAGGCCCCTCCTTGGCTTGCGGATGGCCATCTTCTGGACCATGTCCTCACACTGTCTTTTGTCTGTACGTGTGCACGCCCCTGGTGTCCAAATCCCCTCTTTATGGGGGCACCAGGCCGAAATCTAACGATTCAGCTTCATGTAAAAAGTTCCAGATTGCCCTCTCCAACCCTTCAACCCCTTCAACTTTTCAACCCTCACCTATAAGCCAGTAGCAACTGTGAGGCCCCCACTCTCCCTCCGCTGGCACCTGCAACGACTGTTCCAGCCTTTGGTTACCGTGTATGGAATAATCTGGCAGTACGGAATAATCTCCCGCAGCAAAGGAGTCAGTGAGTGTCCTTGGAGACCACCGGGAAGCTTTTCCAAACTCGACAAGTGGGTCGATATGCTCTACTCCCGTTTTTGTCAGTGTAATTAGCACGTAGGATGCACTTTTCCCTCCGTACATAAAGCGCTCGTGCTCTGCCACGGGGCCGGCCTTGTCTCCGTGCGCCTGGGAAACACAGGAGCCACCGCGGGACACGAGCGGACTGCTGGCTGTGGCCGCACCAGGGTGCGCCTCGACTGGCCTGGACGCTGAGCTGCCAGACTGCAACTATCCCAGTTTCCCTCCCAGCCGGAAATTAACTTCAGAACTGGACCCTGTTTGCCACCTCTCCACAATCAAAAGATTTTAATCAAACATTAAAGTATATAAACTCAACTCAGAAATCATGAATCCTTCCCCAATGCACTTCCCCAATGCACTTTCTGATCTTTTGTTTCCTTGAGCACTTAAAAAAAATACATTGATGAGCTGCTTATTTTTTCCCCCTCAATAAATGGGAATGGGGGACTCGTACACCAAAACCTGACAAGTTTTAGAATAAAACCACTCAGGGTTACCAGCCACGGGACATTGGCTCCCTCCCACCTGGAAATCACCACCCTCCTCCTTGCCTCGGGTGAGTCTAGACACCTCAGCCCCCAGCACCACAAGACGGTCTCCAAAGGCGCGGGCTGCTGTCAGGGCTGTGCGCAGAATGGAGGGGAGGAGTCACAGGTGAGTCCACATGGTGATGATCCAGAGGAACATGTGGGGAGAGTGCCCTCCTTAACATTTGGGTAGCTTGTGTGTTAGGGCCAACCCATGGGATGTGATTCTATCGAGAGAGATTTATTTTAAGGAATTGGCCCATCTGATGATGCGAGCTTGGCAAGTTCAAAACCTGATGGGGAACATCAGCAGACCGCAGACTCAGGGAAGAGTTCCAGTTCAAGTCTGAAGGCCATTTGTTGTCAGATTTCCTTTTTACAAAGGGGAGGTCAGTCTGTTCTACTCAGACCTTCAACTGATTGGGTGAGGCCCACCCACCTATGGAGGGCAATCTACTCTACTCAAAGTCCACTGATTTAAATGTTAACCTCATCAAAAAATTCATAGAAATACCTAGAATAATGTTTGACCAAATAGTTGAGCACCATGGCCCAGCCATGTCGACACACATAATTAACCATCACAAGTGGTTAAAGGACAGAGGAAAGCAGGGGAAATGGCATTCTGCCTTAAGAACCGCGGGGTTGGTGTGGAGTTTGGGGGTGTGGGGAGTCAGCACACCCAGGCTCTGCACCTTGCAGGCTGCCCCTCTGGCTGAGGCCATCTGCTTGGTGAGCACATGGAGCCCATTTGCAATGCTTGACTTTTATACCAAACTCAGTGAACACACTCTCATATGCTAATACGACCCTTAGGAAGTTAATTAGCCTCTGGAACACAAACACTCCACATCCTGAGTGGGTGCAGAAGTGGATGAACAAATGGATTCTGCCGAATGCAGGGTTGGTGCAGAGTGCAGGGGCTTGGGGAGTCAGCACGTCCATGCACGCCCAAGCCTGAGCTGTGAGTGTGGGCTCAGCCAGGTGGGCGAGGCTCAGCAGCCACCACCTGCAGGCTGGATGCTCCCCACGGGGCAGAGGGAGGTGCCCCATTGCCAGGACATGGCCCCTTGAGGAACCGGGGACTTAACTTTTTCCTTTGTTTATGACGGGGTAGGATAAAATCATCTCCAGGCTCTGTCCTCAGACTCTGCGTCTAGCTCTAAAGGTGGTTGGCTTTACAAGCAAAACCTAACCAATCTCAAGTGATGGGCCCCATCACCCCTGCATCCCCTGCCTCCTTCCTGGAGCACCTGGAGGACAACCCAAAGAATATGGTATCTAGATAAAAGATCAGATACTTGGGGGACCCCAAGAAGGAACAAGATTGAGTGCAAAGGGCAGGCCCCCAGAGCAGCAGGAGGGGTCCCATTCCTTCCTCTGGGCTGGGGGGAGGGGGAAAGGGCTTCTCCAGCCAGTGCCTGGTCCCCTGACCACATTATGGGGAGTGAGGCCCTAGTTCAACCAACTCCAGAGGTTCAAGAGCAGGTTCAAGGTCAAGAGGCACCACTTTCATGCCCAATGCAGAGCAGAAAAGATGCTTCCCTGCTGAAAGACACCCAAGATGTGTCTGTTGGGAGATGGAAGTTTCCAGATGGGAGTCAACTTAGAAGAGGGAAGTGATGGTTTCCCTGGAGAAGCTCACCCTGGAATTGATGTGAAAGGCTTAGCCTCCTCCTCAGATCCGCAGGCAGGGCGCTGGCCGGTCGCCCAGGAGGGCTGAGCGTTCGGGGATGTGACCTGCAGCTTCCTTTGCCGAGTCCCAGCCAGCGCCTTGCAGGCAAGAGGAAGGACTTCGGAGCCACCACTGCCCCTGGGCAAGCCCATGGCACACTTTGAGCCTCGGTTTCTCCATCCACGAAACGGGCAGCCCCCTCAGACTTCCTCTCCTGGGAATGAGCGAGCCTACGTGAGAACTCACTCGGGGTTTCCAATGGTTCCTGGCGGGGAAGACACGCCAACTCGGGGCTGAGAGCGGGCGCAGAGTCACCCTCTCTCCGACCCACCCTGAGCTGACCGGTCCCGTCATCGGCCTGCCCTCCCGGATCGCTCAACCCGCCCTGGCTTAGGAGGGACTTCCCACCAGCTCCCTGCTCACCAGCAGGAGGAGCAGTTCGGGGGAAACAGCTGACACTCCAATGCCCATCGACCTTGGCCTCGAGATCCTCCCGTTTCAGAGCTGGTGGAGATTGGCTTCTGGTTTACGCACTACAACAGAGAGGACTCTTCTGACAACAAGCAGCATGTGACTCGACTGCTTTAGGCGGTAAATGTGATCTACTCATGTCAGGAGAGCCAGGAGAAGGTGTGGACTCAGGGGTCCGTTAATGCAGTAGCTCAGGGATGCCCTCAAGGACCCAAGGTCTTTCCATGTCTCCACTGTGCCATCCTTGGGGTTGACTTTGTCCTCAGGCTGGTAGAAAGAGGGCAGCAGCCATTCAAGTGTCATATCAAGACGCAACGCATCAGAGGAAAGACAAGGACTATCTCTTCTTCTGTGACCTTGGGAACAGAGACGGCAGCTTTCCCAGAAGACTCTACCACATGCCTTATTGGCCCAAACTGGGTCATGTGCCCATCCCTAAACCACCATCCGGCAAGGGCGGTGGGAGGGGGTGGGGACAGGGCGGGGAGGGGCACCATGGGCCCCAGTCATCTACTGATGCATAACGAACCTGCCTGGAACTCAGCAGCATAGGACAGTCACGATCATATGACTGTGCAGATCCAGGGCTTGGCTGGGCTCAGCAGGTGGTTCTTGTTCCGGATCTTTCTGCAGAGGAGTCCGACAGCGACTGTCCTCTGCAAAGCTTCCATGCTCACTCGCCTGACGGCTGCCGCCTGCCGGGACCTCAGCGAGGGCTGTCCGCTGGAAGTCCTGTGCCGTCTGCTCACAAGGCTTGGTCCCCCTCCGAGCGTGACTGCTGGTTCACAGGGCGGATGGATGTCCGGTCCTAAGAAACAGGCAGCGCTGCCTTCCTCTGAAGAAGCCTCAGGTGTCACCTGGTGTCATTGTCACCAGAAGGACCAGACCACCCGGGTGTCGGAGGAGGGAACCCAGGTCCTGCTGGTTCCAGATGAGGGGGTGTCAGAGCCCCACGGTGAGGCAAGTGTGAGAAGCAGGACCTGTTGAGGCACCGCCGCGGGGAAGTGCATCTGCCACACGACATTGGCTTTGACCCGTTGTCCTCGAGCCCGGAGATTCTGACTTTGTTCTTGGGCGGGGCCTGAGAGTCCGTTTCACTAGCGAGCTTCCAGGTGACAGCAAAGCTGTGCCGGGCTCCAGGCTCTAGACTGGGCTGCAGTCCCACAAACTGGTTAAAGCTCCCAATGTGGTCCTGACGGGACACCAGGGTGAGAACCACTGGCTCAGACCCACCAGGATTTACCCTTGGAACTGGGGATAAAGCCCCCTCTCAGGAGTTTCGTTGGGAGTCCAGTGGCTTCCCAAACAAAACTCAAGAGAGGAAGAGGAAATAGTGCTGGGTGGGCAACCGAGGATGCTTGAGGCCCAGGCATCCTCCTTGCTACCCCCCCCCCCCCCCCCCCCCACCCAGCCCTCACAGGCTCTGCCTCCTTAGACAAAGGCTGTGCCTTGGGCAAGCTGTCAAGTTCATGGGCTCAGGCCCAGCCTCCCTGCTCTCGGGCCCTTTGCCTGAGGAGCTGGTCTTCATTGGGATGCAGCAAGGGCCTGCCTGCCCTTGAGAAAGAGGACAGGAGCGTTCAGCATTCTGGAGTCGGTGTGCTCCCCGCCCCCACCGTCAGGGCCCAGGGATGAACTTGGGGCCCTGAGCAGGCCTGATGGATGTTCAGAAATGACCTTGCAGTTCCTGGGCTCCGGCTGCAGAGTTGGAGCCAATCTTCATCACTGGCCTTTGAATAATTCATCTCACACTCAGCAATCATAAAAAGAACAAGGCTTCAGGGCTTTGGAGGTTTCTGATCAGGCAATAACGAGACCATGTATTACAGTCTCTTTAGCAGACTGATTTGGGGTCAGTTCTAATATTAAATCCACCCACATTCACAGGTCCTCCTATCCCAGCTCAGACACAATGAAATCTGCGTGAAACACGATGGAATCTGTGGATGGGGAGCATGTACGTAAAGCCTACTCCTTTCCTGATTAAGTTACCTTCATGAACAAAACGGTAAAGAGACTTAACAAGGCAAGCCCCACACGAGGCCCCAGGGGGGTCCCGTGCGTTAAATCCTCAGTGATGCTCGGTGCCCTAAATGGCCAAGGCTGATGGACTGTCCTAAAGGGTCAGTCATGGGTTTCGGGAAAATGGCTTTGCTGTCATGAATCAAGGCTGGTTTCTTGTGAACCTCAGTCTGGACACTGTGGCTTCAGTGTCCACTCCCGCAGAGGGGCACCACCAGACATCATCGTCAACATGCTTGTAAAGCCCCGTGCAAGCGATTGGCATGTAGTAGGGTCTTTGCAAGCACTGTCCCACTCAACGCTCTTGGTCCTGCGTGTGGGGAACACTGAGACCTGAAGAGGGTTAGGGGCTTGCTGGTGACCACACAGGCGGTAATGCTAGCACCGCCCTGCCAGCTCCTGTCTCCAGCGGTGGGCGTCTTCCGTTCTACTGCCCGGCGTGGCCACGGCGCCCACCACCGCACTCAGAGAAATAGTCTAGGCTTCCATTCAAAGGTGGATGGGGAGGGAAAGGCGTCGGTAAGGGGAAAAGGTGGCGCAGTGTCGTTCCCCTGAAAGCTCCCTGCTTGTTAGTCCT